GGGGGTGTCGTCACACTCGAGAGGAAGTTACCCCTGACCTCACATGACTTCCCCAGAGGCCTCTGGGGGCCTGAGGGCAGGGGCAAGGGTGAGGGCAGGGGCAAGGGCAAGGGCAAACTGAAGCCTCCTAGTCACCAAGCAGGCAGAGCTCACAGCACATGCCCTTTGCAACACTGGCCCCACCTGCCCCACCACAGCCTAAAGGAGGGGGCCACCAACACTCACAGTTGCCAGGTCCTTCTGCGTCAGTCCCTTGCTCTGCCGGCCCTGCTGGATCACCTTGCCCACCTCCAGGGTCACTCGGTCATGGTGCAGCTCCTCAGTCTCCCGGTCCAACTTGGCTGTGTTCTTGGTGATCGAATGCTGTTTGTTCTGGCCAGCGGCCCCTGGACCAGCGGGAGGCAAGAGCAGGGAGAGGGTTTCAACCAATGGGAAGGAAAGCTGTTTTAAGGACAGGAACCAGACCTGACAGGTGAGGCGCCTGCATCCAGGTGACACAGATGCAGACCATCCAAATTATGGGAACTGCAAAGGCTCAAGAGCACAGTTCAGTATCTCCTCCCAGCTGTGGGGTCGGAGAACAAGACCCCCTGACCTGCACCAACCACAGCTGCTCAGGTAACATTCCAGACACTCCCCAGCCCTGCAGCAGCTTCAGCTGCCAGCTGCCGCCCTGACACCCTGGGCACCACACTCGTCTGCAGGGATGGCCAACTACTGGGCACTAGCTGTGGGTGATAGCACAGGTACCTACATTTCTTGGAAGTCTCCACATCTTCTCCTCGTCTCTGAGCTGCTAAGATGGCCTAGAAAATCAGGAAATGTTTTTTGTCAAAATTAACTTTGGAGCCCTGGCCAGGTATCAGCTAGTTAGTGTTGCCCTAACATGCAAAGGTTTTGGGTTTGAACCCCAGTCAGGGCACATACAAGAATCAACCAATGAATGCATGGGCGGAAGAACAAATTGATTTCTCTCTCTATCCCCTTCCTTTCTCTCAAACAATTTTTTTTTTAAATTAGCTTTTGCTCTGGCTGGTGTGGCTCAGTGGCTGCAATGTTGGCCTGTGCACCAAAGGGTTGTGGGTTTGATTTCTGGTCAGGGGCACATACCTGGATTTCAGGTTTGATCCCCAGCCCCAATCCTGGTATGTGGAACACAATCGATTGATGTGTCTCTCTCACATCGATCTTTGTTTCTCTCTCCCTCCCTGTCTCCTTTCCATTCTAAAAATCAACGGAAGCATGGCCAGCATAGGTCAGCAGTTTAGCATCAACCTAGAATCCAGGCGATCAAGGCTCGATTCCTGGTCAGGGCATATGCCTGGGTTGTGGGCTCGATCCCCAGTCTGGGGCGTGCAGGAANGGAAGCATGGCCAGCATAGGTCAGCAGTTTAGCATCAACCTAGAATCCAGGCGATGAAGGCTCGATTCCTGGTCAGGGCACATGCCTGGGTTGTGGGCTCGATCCCCAGTCTGGGGTGTGCAGGAGGCAGCTGACCTATGACTGTCACCATTGATGTTTCTATCTCTCCCTCCCTCTCCCTTCCTCTCCCTGAAATAAATAAAAATATTTTAAAAATAAATAAGTAAATAATAATAATAAAAGTCAATGGAAAAAATATCCTCCAGTAAGGGTTAACAACAATAACAAAAAATTAGCTTTGGGAGTGTCTGGCAACACCAGTTCAAGCTGCCGTGAACTGGCAACCTTTTGCTGCACCGGACGACACTCAACCAACTGAGCCACACCAGCCAGGGCAGTGCTGGGTTCTAAACCAAGCTGGTCAGCCAACATCGTCTTCAACCAGATATCCTGGCAACTCTCAGCAAGCTGCCCCTAAGGTAAACAGGCATTATCCACTTCCCTGCTGCTGAGAAAGACACACCAACTGTTTCCTTGTAGAAGCCCACACCTGAAATGGCTGACCCCCCTGCACTGCACAAGCCCTGTGGACCTGGTCTGGCCTTCCTCTGGGCATCTGGCTCCAACAACAGAGCAGGCACAGTGCTTGGAGCCTGCACCCCACCCTCAGTCACCTCCGCCAGAGCAACACCCCTTGATCTGTAGTCCCCGAGTGTAATGCAGTTCTTCGTGCCTCTGATACTTCAAAGAAGTGAGTGTGGGATGTTTAAAGATGCTTTCTAGACCTGTTCACATGACTCCTGGCTGTGGCTATTAAGTTTCCTTTAGGGAACAAACAAACAAACAAAAAAAAAGTGAATTTGGTTTTGACTGCGCAGCAAGCCCAGGGCAGGTCGGTGAATGCTGGTCACCAGGGCCACAGCCAGTCCTGGCCCAGACCCAGCACTGCGCGTCTAGGGCTCCTGAGGGCAAAACAGAGCCCGGAGGCGGTGGCTGAGCACCGCTCCTCCCCCACTCACGTCGGGTTCACGCAGGGCCCTGGGAGGACCAGTCGGGATGGGAGCTTTCTGCCTCCAAGCACCTCTCAGGGCGCGCAGCGCGTGCACGGTGGGGGAGCAGGGTCCCCCTGCACGGTGGGTCCCAGGGCAGCGCGGCCTGGACACAGACACGCCCTACAGGCTGCAGCGAGCCTGGGGGTACGCGGGCGGGGCCCCGCCCGGACTGAGCAGACTCTGGGGGGTCTCCAATCCCGCCCCCACCCGAGCCCACGCCGCGGCTCCCGCCCGGGGTCCGCCCCACGAGCCTGCGCC